TGTAACATTAACAACACAATGCGCTTTATCATTCACTCAAGTCTCAGCTGGCATTCCTTATTCTTAAATTCAATGCGAAAATAAAAATAAATAAATAAAAATATATCATACGTGTGTGTGTATGTGTGAAAGTGTGTATATGTGAATATGCATGTGTAGGTGAATATGTATGAGTATACGTAAGTGTATGTATGTCTGTATATGCGTAGGAATAGGTACATTACTTACGTGTATATCATCCTTTTTTTGCAAGCACACAAAAGATACATTTATTTGTATGCTGAATACAGTTTCCTTATGTTATACATTACGAATTATATTATATTATAAGTTATATTAGACTACATCGTGCTATATTATATTAGACTATATTATACTATACTATTCTTATCTTATATCATATTATGTCATATTATATTACAATTATATATCCTCCATAGTCTTTAAATTTTCACACTATTCCTCCTCTGGATGACCAATCCTTCGCAAAAGTTATCGTTTCACAAATAACCGACTTCAATCGTTTCTTCAGACATTAAAAATTACCCTCTATTACAAAGCAAGATTTCCAAGCTCAGAAACCTGGGTTGACTTCCACAACATCCCGTGCAATAAAATTGTGTTCCAAGGACAACTAAACGAGATTGCCCTGAATAAATTCACACACTGGACTGTTCGATAAAGCTTTTTTTTCTCAAGAAGTACACCGACCAAACTCTACCTCTTGGCCTGACCAGTTGGCAGTGCAGGACGTTCCCGGGAGTGTAATGAGCTTCTCCTTCCCTTTGGTGTTGATCGGAACCACAAGTCTGTGCAGCTCGGACCTGAAGGATTCCACGAACTCGGGAGAGTTTTTCCCCCTTTGTTCCTGTAAGTATGGTGAGGATTAGTCCATGTACTGGGCCACGCTCTCCGGTGAACTTAACGAGGGCAAGTTGATAAGAAGCAATCACTGTATCTACGAGACCCTACTCACTCTTAGTGTGCTGATAAACATGTTGTGGAGGATCGTAGCGTCCTTGTATGTAGGAATATCCATAATGATGTGGTCGCCTTCCTCATAGGCATTGGCCACATGCATGAAGAAGAACGGGTCTGTCACGTATCTTGTCTTCACGTGCTTCCATGTCTGTCTGTCAACCACATGGATGAGCACCTGGAGAGAATGACAACGCCAAAAATAAGATTAAGAGTGTCTCTTTGTCCTTACACGCATTTTTAAACAAACTGAAATGGAGAAAAATAAATCACTTCTCATTTACTTACTGGTTCGTTGTGCCACTTCAGGCCATCGATGAAAGGCGCGTTGCTCACAATATCACTCAAGAGCTCAGAGAGGGAAACGGCCAGAGGCTGCTCTATTAAGATCGCATAGTTCTCAGTCATGGCCATTGAGTGCATGTACGCAGGGGACAACCTCCATCTAGCAGGTACTGATGCCACAATTTTTCCTTGTTTCAAATTACCTGTCGGCAAGGAAACGTTGCCATATGTAAGACAACTGACATAGATGGGGTGGGTGAACGAAGAAAGAGTCGCATGGACAGACAGACACACACAGACACACACACACACAGACACACACACACAGACACACACACAGACACACACAGACACACACACACACACACACACACACACACACACACACACACACACACACACACACACACGCACATACACACGCACATACACACGCACATACACACGCACATACACACGCACATACACACGCACATACACACGCACATACACACGCACATACACACGCACATACACACGCACATACACACGCACATACACACGCACATACACACGCACATACACACGCACATACACACGCACATACACACGCACATACACACGCACATACACACGCACATACACACGCACATACACACGCACATACACACGCACATACACACGCACACGCAGAGAAAGAGAGAGAGAGAGAGAGAGAGAGAGAGAGGAGAGAGAGAGAGAGGAGAGAGAGAGAGGGAGAGAGAGAGAGGAGAGAGAGAGAGGAGAGAGAGAGAGAGAGGCAGGCAAGGAGAAAGACAGAAAGAAACAGAGCGAAAGAGAAAAAGAAACAAAGATGAAGAGAAAGACAGAAAGAGGAGAGACCGACAGAAATAAAAAATAAAGAGAGTAGGAGAAAGAAAAACACAGAGGAAGAGGAGGACCTTTTAAAAGAGAGAAAAGAAAGAGAGAAGCCCGGCAAAACCCGCCACACCCTTCCGAGGAGAGCAAAGACACGCCTACCGTCTAGGGGGTATCTGAGGATGCTGTACTTGGGCCCCGTCACGCCCACGCCCTGGCCCACCGTGTAGACCCCGTCGCTGGCTAAAATAGGGTGAGGGCTCTGCGTCATCAGCCCGTGCTTCTTGTTCACGTTGATCTGAGAAGATATAAACGAGGGGGGATATTAGGACAAGGAAGGAACAAGGCGAATATATAATCACTGGTTTACAGCGGTGTGTTACCCCCCCCCTCCCCTCCCCTTCACATAACAGTAATCAAAGTGGATTATATGGCAGTCGCTCAGCTATAAAATGAGCGTGTTGATGATGTGCTGATGTGCGAAAAAAAATAATTAATCTAGATATGGATGTGGTTAAGCACTGCTATAGAAATAGTGCCTGGTATTTTTTTACATTTTTTTTTTTATTTTGCAAATCCTAATAGAAAAAAAGCATTAACTTCTTACCCTTTCCTCTGTCTCTAAGCTCTCGGTGTTGACTTGCAGCATGAAGGGCGTCTCGCACATAGCGTAGTGTTGTGGTCCGATGTTCACCACGGATACGAGTGCGTTGTCGGAAAACATCTTCTCGGGGTCCATTGCATCCAGGAATCTGATTCGAGTAAAAAAAATAATGAAGAGGGGAAGCAGAAATGCCTGGAGAAGAGAGGAAATGGAGAATGGGTGTACAGTCTTTGCTACTGGCGCCATCGACCTTGAACTCTAGCATTAATGGCTTCATCCTCATGACAAAGCTAGCGGCTAACGGCGGGGAATGACAAACGTTGCACTAACTCTTACTGTGAATTCTGACATAACGGCCCTCAGTTTATGATACCTCTCCTGAAATGATAATCGGCGAAGTGACAAGACTGTCATTAATCATACTACTTTGTGCTGTTAATGAACTGAGAAATGAGAATATTTATGCTGCTGACATCAGCCGCGAGTAATGTCAATGATTCCCTTAACACTTGGACAGTTACTTGTTACTACCGTGACACGGGCACTGAAAAAAGTTATGGATGACTGCCGCATGATTGCAGCAGACAGGACGAAAGAAGCAAAGAGCGGCGGCCCTCGTTCTGGTGCCTGGACGATGACTGCCACTGACCTTGAGAACATGCCCTTGGAGGCCGGCGCCGGGGTTCCGAATTCAGCTCTGGTGATGGCCCCTGCTGCCTGGTTCTGTTCGTAGGTCTTGGATCGAATGAAGCGGCTGCTGTAGTTCACCTGGCCGTCCTCGATCTCGAACCTGGAGACACGGCGAGACGTGGGACTCAGTCAGGGAATGGCCATTCGGAGATATTGGGTCTCATTCTCAATCAGCTCCTTGTTTGTTGTTTATCTATTTGCACTCACTTATGACAGAATCCCCTCCCCCGCGCCCTCCCTCTCCCTCTGGTCATACTCACTTCTGCAGGATGGCCGAAGCATCGAACGCATGTCGGTACTCGTTCTGGCCGACCTTGGTGAGTCCCGGCCCATTGTACACTAAGCGACCCTTCAGCCATTCCGGGGGAGTTCCTAAGGTACGGAAAGGAAAGGGACAAAAAAGGGGGGTGAGAAGACTCCCAAATGGACAAGACCAAATCTGGGCAAGAAATAGCTTGGAGTGTCACTTGGAGGAAGGAATCGACGAGGTGAAGAGTGGGAGACACAGTCAGATAAGATAGAGGGGCAGGTAGAAGGGGAGGACTGAAAGTTGTACAAATTTAACAGCTCTATCACTTAAGAGTCCTTACTTACCAATATGTGAATATCAGAGTGGTAAGGACTCGGGAGTAGTTATGTGAGTAAAAAATGTGATACACGGAAGGAGAGAGAGAGAGAGAGAGAGAGAGAGATGATGTCATTGCCAAAGGCTTCTATGCAGATGTGAGGCCCGACAAGGGATGTGGACGTCAATTCTCGTAAGGAAGAGCAGCAGATTGACGTGCTGACATATACCCATATTGGAATACCCAAGTGAGGAAGAAGCAGGACGCTGACAAATGTTGGCTTTAAACAAGGTTTGCGAAAATACAGAAGACAGGCACCAATGCGTCCTGTGCAGGCTGACTGACCTGACAGCTGGCACGGGATGGGGTCCGGCGTCTCTTCATCGCAGTGCCGGCACAGCACCGAGTAGTCGTATTTACCCATATTGCGGGACACTTCCGTCGACCTGGGGAGGAGAGGCCGTCAAGTGGCGAGTTCGGAAATAAGAACCTAGACAAATGAATAACGGGGGATATATCAGGATGGGGACAGGCAAATGCAGATGGGGAGGAAGAAAAAGCAAGACAGGTAAACAGGCAGACAACACACATACGCGCGCGCGCACACGCACTCACTCACTCACTCACTCACTCACTCACTCACTCACTCACTCACTCACTCACTCACTCACTCACTCACTCACTCAGACACACATTAATCATACGTACAAATTTACATCGCCGCTGAACTCAAAGTTCTATTTCAACACAATGACTAAGCCCACGCAAACAAATAACTGTAACTGACTGGGATAATAATTTGGTAGGTTCATGCACGAGGAGAGTATTATTTGTCAGCTTATCAAATCACTTTCTATCCTTTTCGAAATTCAAATTACCAAGTCCTGTCCAAAACGGAGATGCTAGGAAAACGACTGAATATAGATAGTGACATAAATATAGAAAGCTTTAAGTTGAATTTATCAGAAATTATTGAAAGACCGTTCTTGTTGCAAATGTTGCTTATGATAACTCTCCCTCTATTTTCAATGCTATCCTCTAAGAAATTTTCCCTCTTAAAGTATAGATATGTTAAACCAAAGACGCTAAATAAACTTGATATCACAAGTCATATAACAAATCTTAAAACAGAAAAAAAAAAAAAAATTACTTTTCAAAATGGCCTATTACATAGCGCTGAATATCGCAGAATTTACAATGATGTTACAAGAATAATTCGATGAGCTAAGACAAACTACAGTACAGAGCAGTGTAACAAACTTGCATGAATCCGCAGAATAATCTGTAACGTGATTAATAACATCCCTGGTAGAAGGAATGAAGAACCCCCATCTCTCATTATGACTGATAGAGAAGAATAACAGCAGGGTCCCTTGGCCACAGCAAACTTATTTTGACTCATATCTTATAAATGCCGGTAATATGTTAGCTAATGAAATCCGACACACGCCTAAAACTTACGAATACTATCTTCCCCGGTCTACAATTTCCTTCCATAACCGAGTCGGAAATCAAAAATGCCCATGAGCTAAAAAAAATAATAATAATAATAATAAAACCTCCGGGCCACAATGGATTTCCTATGAAGCTAATTAAAGAATGGATCACTGTTAACCTACCTGTAGCAACTCATTTTATTAACTGTTCTATAAGATCAGCAATATTTTCCAGATCATCTAAAGACATCCAGATTATTCCGTTGTTCAGATCAGGAAATGAAAGTTTAATGCAAATTTTCTATCATTTGCATTGGTAAACTAAAGAAAAATTTCCGTAAAAGGATTTTGTAACCTACAAATAATTTCAAAATTTCAGCGTGGGTTTTAAAAACATACTTCAACAGCAGATGCTATTATTATTATTACAAATGATATCCATGTGGCGTTTGATAGGAGATGTATTACTATAGCAATCTGTCTGGATTTTACAAACTTTTGACACAGTAGACCATTCAATTCTAAAACCCGAACATTGTGATGTTAGAGGATGCATGCTAAATTGGTTCAAATCATATTTAGACAGTTGAGGTCAATACGCTAAACATAAATTTAAAATGTCCTCGTTATTGCTGTTAAATACCTGTGTTCCTCAGGGGTCTATACTTGGTCCTGTTCTTTTTACACTTTATATGAATGATCTCTATGCATTCTATTTGCTGATGATAGTGTCATGTCTGGTTAAATCATAGGAATTATGAAATCACCTAATACTGAACTGATAAACATCAATAATGGATATCATGTAACAAATGGACAGTAAAGAGTCCCACTATATAATTCTTAACAGAAACGAAGCATATCCCCCGTCCCCCGTTTAAATCATTTACTATTTGAACACCAAATCGTTCAGAGAAAACCAACTTAAAACTCGTCCATAATCTGCTTTGAAATGCTCACATCCAAAACATCCAAGCTAAAGTAAATCGATAGTGTGGCATTATTCGGCTAGCAAGATCCTCAATGACTGCCAAAGCCTTATAAAGTCTCCCCCTTATTTCATATACGGTTAGACCTTACGAGGGGCTGTAACCCATACAGCTCTAATACCACTAGTAGCAGTTCAAAAGATTCCTATGTTTAATGTCGGGTCTTTGCAGAAATTATCATACTAATGACTCTTAAATATCTGAAACTCCTAAAACTCTAACACATATATAGACCATTATTGTGCAACACACGTTTTACACATCTGTTTATGAGACATAAAATGGACTTTATAGTTTTTGGAATAATGTCAAATATAGCCAACGGAAATGTAGATTGCTAGACATCCCTTAACTCAGTGAGATCAGTCAAATCATGTACCATTTTCATGGAACTAAAGTATGGAACAATTCGCCATTTATAGCAATAAGGGAAATAGGCCATATTAACACGTCTAAAATGTTATAATGCTATTATCCTTGGAAATAATCGTGATATGTACGATTTTGTACTAAGTGTTTATTAACAGGTTACATATGCGATCTAAAATTAAGGTTTAATTTGTTTTAGTTTGTTCACCAGCTTTACTGTTCTATATTGTAAATGAACTGAACATGAACTGGACATCTTCCAGTATATCTAACTCAAACAGGTATTTACGGTAATAAAAGACATTTGGGTGAGGAAAGAAAGTTTATTCTATTTGCTATATGAAATACATTAAAACTGGTGAACAGCTTTAATCTATTTGTATATCACTTAAAGTTAAACCAATGTAATCGAGCTTTCTCTACGCCATTAAATTCACCGGCTATTAAATCTTACATATCTGGATATTGCAAGAAAATTATTAAATCATTTCTTTTGCCTTGGTTAATGCACCAAACACAGAGCATCACATGTATTCCTAACACCTAAAAAATGTTTAAAGCACCAGCTAACCAACCATCCAAAATTCACCATCACAGACCTTTGCTGACACCAGTGCTCCATAAGTGCATGAACTACTACTGTCGAGAATCACATTATTGTATACTTATGGTTCCCTATCCTTGCTGCTGCCACTGACTACCATAAACTGTCTTACTGTCATTTCTTATACCAATTATATGGCAAAAATCGAAGAAAATTTTGAACTTTCTTTTAATACCGTCCTTACTTATGGATTACAAAATCAAAGCCAATGCTTTAATCAAGGAAGCCATCTACAGGGCTTATCATTTGTATAATAACATTACCAAACAAAGCGAACAGCATGCAGGGCGCAGGTGAATCCTGGCGAACGCCAATAGCAACATCGACCGGAGTAGAAGCACTAAGACCAGTGGATAAGATCATAGCATAAATCTTGGCCACAGACCTTCTATCTATGACACTGATACCTTTGTCCCTCCTTTGTTCCACTTGGATAGGCGCTTAAATACTGCTAATAGTTCTGCAGCTGTCCAACAACAAGGACATGATCAAGATTAGAAAACACACACATGCACATGTACATGTACATCAACATGTACATGCACATGCACATTCACAAATACGGAGGAGAGAGAGAGAGAAAATGTGAGAGAGAGAGAGAGAGAGAGAGAAAATGTGAGAGAGTGAGAGAGAGAAAATGTGAGAGAGTGAGAGAGAGAAAATGTGAGAGAGTGAGAGAGAGAAAATGTGAGAGAGTGAGAGAGAGAAAATGTGAGAGAGTGAGAGAGAGAAAATGTGAGAGAGTGAGAGAGAGAAAATGTGAGAGAGTGAGAGAGAGAAAATGTGAGAGAGTGAGAGAGAGAAAATGTGAGAGAGTGAGAGAGAGAAAATGTGAGAGAGTGAGAGAGAGAAAATGTGAGAGAGTGAGAGAGAGAAAATGTGAGAGAGTGAGAGAGAGAAAATGTGAGAGAGTGAGAGAGAGAAAATGTGAGAGAGTGAGAGAGAGAAAATGTGAGAGAGTGAGAGAGAGAAAATGTGAGAGAGTGAGAGAGAGAAAATGTGAGAGAGTGAGAGAGAGAAAATGTGAGAGAGTGAGAGAGAGAAATGTGAGAGAGTGAGAAAATGTGAGAGAGTGAGAGAGAGAAAATGTGAGAGAGTGAGAGAGAGAAAATGTGAGAGAGTGAGAGAGAGAAAATGTGAGAGAGTGAGAGAGAGAAAATGTGAGAGAGTGAGAGAGAGAAAATGTGAGAGAGTGAGAGAGAGAAAATGTGAGAGAGTGAGAGAGAGAAAATGTGAGAGAGTGAGAGAGAGAAAATGTGAGAGAGTGAGAGAGAGAAAATGTGAGAGAGTGAGAGAGAGAAAATGTGAGAGAGTGAGAGAGAGAAAATGTGAGAGAGTGAGAGAGAGAAAATGTGAGAGAGTGAGAGAGAGAAAATGTGAGAGAGTGAGAGAGAGAAAATGTGAGAGAGTGAGAGAGAGAAAATGTGAGAGAGTGAGAGAGAGAAAATGTGAGAGAGTGAGAGAGAGAAAATGTGAGAGAGTGAGAGAGAGAAAATGTGAGAGAGTGAGAGAGAGAAAATGTGAGAGAGTGAGAGAGAGAAAATGTGAGAGAGTGAGAGAGAGAAAATGTGAGAGAGTGAGAGAGAGAAAATGTGAGAGAGTGAGAGAGAGAAAATGTGAGAGAGTGAGAGAGAGAAAATGTGAGAGAGTGAGAGAGAGAAAATGTGAGAGAGTGAGAGAGAGAAAATGTGAGAGAGTGAGAGAGAGAAAATGTGAGAGAGTGAGAGAGAGAAAATGTGAGAGAGTGAGAGAGAGAAAATGTGAGAGAGTGAGAGAGAGAAAATGTGAGAGAGTGAGAGAGAGAAAATGTGAGAGAGTGAGAGAGAGAAAATGTGAGAGAGTGAGAGAGAGAAAATGTGAGAGAGTGAGAGAGAGAAAATGTGAGAGAGTGAGAGAGAGAAAATGTGAGAGAGTGAGAGAGAGAAAATGTGAGAGAGTGAGAGAGAGAAAATGTGAGAGAGTGAGAGAGAGAAAATGTGAGAGAGTGAGAGAGAGAAAATGTGAGAGAGTGAGAGAGAGAAAATGTGAGAGAGTGAGAGAGAGAAAAT